TGATGGACAACAATATGTATGGGTAGGTATGCATTTTCGCCGGTGACAATATGAACAAGAGGACCTGGTCAAAATGTACCATTAAACCCCTACTGCATGAATAGAAAACGAGACACGTCAATGTGATTTACACACCAATTTGATTAAAAAATCTATAACATCTTTAAGCAGTAAATCTGTGGGGCGACAGTATGTGCATTGGGGATATGGCACACAATGTCGACGGTGAAAATAAGTTCATGTGCAACATTTTATCCGGCAACAATATGCAACGATGGACGACAATATGTGCAGAAAGAGTTACTGTAGCTACATATTGTCGGTAATATAAACAAAACGACAATTTGTACCGTCACGCGATGCCCTAAATTTATTTCTGTGAATTTTTTTTGATCCCATACCAGAAACTGTAAATCAAATTTTATTTGCGTGCGAGATATATAAAGTTTCGCGATCTATTTAAGTCGCAAATATTAATCGCCGCGAACATATTTTTTTGCTTTATTTTTGGTAAAGATATGTAATTTTTCGTGAAAAAATTTTGATTCCAAACTGAAGAATCGCGAATAAAAGATGACTCGAATAATTCTTGCTTCACATTAACTTGTCATTAATAACACTTAATTCTCATCAGCAAATAGAAAATCTTCAAGATCAAAGCCAATTTTTCATTAACTTTTATATTTATATACATGTAGATACATTTTTGTTACTGAGCGCACATTCTGTATATTAAAATAATGATTTTTTTAGAGTGGTTAATGACGTCACAAAAATAATGTGTGATTTTTTTTTTCAGGAATTGTTTGTAGACATGCTACCTTTGATTCAAAGATTAAAATACCTTGGCAGGAAACCAAGAACATAATAGCAGTACCAGTGTTTAAACATATGATTGAACAATAACCACAAATATCAGGCGCTAGGAAGAAATTCATCAACAAAACCAAGCTAAGCCTTTGAACTGACACCCGATTCTGCATAATTCACAATCATGTTTCCTCCAAAATATTTTATTACAACTTTACATTACACTCTCTTTAATTTGAAATACCGATGTTGTAGAGTAGGATTTCCTCCATAGTCAGCTTCTCCCCCGGAAATTGTACTCTAAAGTAGGATTCCCCCTCTCCCCCCCCCCCCCCCCCCAGGGTAAATCTCACACCAGAGCTTAATTTCCCCTTCTTTCTTTCCCCTCGTAATATAGACAATATAAACCATAGCCGCATTATATCTTTTGGAAAAAGGTAAACGACAAACTGATTAGGTAAGTGAGTGTGTTTTTCTATTTATGTTGTAAGAATTTTTTAATTATATACTTCATATCATAGAATCTCAACCAAAATATATAGCTTTAAAAATGTAAGCTTTCTTAAAATATGATGAAACAAACTAAAAAAAAAAAATAAAAACATATGGATGATTGGATTGGTATATATTTTTATGTGGAAATAAATGCAAACTTTAAACTCGCCTACAAAAAATTGGCTCAGTATCTCTAATTCTTTGGAAAAACCTTGCGGAAAACCGTTAAAATTGAAAATGTCGTAGTTCCTTTTAAAAATTGTAGCAAAATTAAACTCTAACTTGAACTCGTCAAGATATACTCCTATACCAAAAAGCAGATCAATGTCTTCAAGCATTTAGAAAAAAGTGCTGAAAACCAGTTGAAACACACAGGCAGACAAAAAAAAAACGTTAGACAGAGAGATGAAACTTACCAATTTATTTGATTTAAAAAAATGGTTTGACGGTAGCCAAGAAAAATCGGGTTTGAAATTTTCATATTCATTTTCATATTCGTATGTTCAATACATCTGGTCATCAGTTTGAAGAAGGGACACTTGTAGCAGTGTGCCAACCATTCCTGCTCAAGAATAAGTAGGGAAATTATATTTCATTGGGAAAAATTGACTCTAGGGGGAAATCACACTCTATTTAACTACGACACAGAGTAAGATTTCCCCCTGGAAAATTGACTCCGATGTGAGATTTCCTGGGGGGGGGGATCCTACTCTAGAGTCAATTTTCCTGGGGTTAAACCTACTCTAGAGCCAGTTTTCTAGGGGGAAATTATACTCTAGAGCCAGTTTTTCGGGGGAAAAGATTTTAGGGGGGGGGAGCCTACTCTACAAGACCGGTAGTCATTCAAAGTGTTAACCACATTTAAGGGATATTCCGTATCACCTTGACAAATCAAGTAGGTACTGAGAAAAGCATCGATGGGGTCCAGGAAGCTTCTAGATTCTGGAAATTTGAAAGACAGACTTTTTAATATTCAACGCATTAATGATAAAGGCTGGTATTATAAAGTTTGTATTATAAATTTATAACACACAATCTCACTGTGTATATACACTTAATACAGTGTATATCATACGATTTTTTGAATCTTGTAAAACTGTATTAAGAATAGGACAGTGCTATTATATTTCTTAATACAAGTCTTAACTTACCTTTTATTTTCAACCAATCAAATGTACTCCCAATGGGGGTCATCCTATTTATATCATTACTAAAAAGCACATGGTAAATAATAATGACCGACTTTACAGGTAAAGACATAGAAAAACTAGTGCGAAAAACTAGTGGAATATATTAAGCAGTAGCTACCACAAAAAAATGCTAGAAGCAGAGCTCATGAATCCATGGTCATACCCAAAATCTCTTTTTCATTTTTAGACGGTGGCTATTATAATATATAGCCACAGGCTATTGCTGCTGGTCTGGGCTATGAGTGTAAACACACGGGGACCCTAGCGGCGATTTTTGCAGAGTCAAAATAATGAAAGTAGACATATTTCGATGTTTGAAAATAAAATGTACATAGTTAACAAATACTTTCAAGTTATTTCAAAGACATTTCGTTGATGGATACAAAGCCTAATTCCTGATATATGCCGTTATCAATATTTCTCGCCCCATGAATATTCATTGCATTACGCCGAACTAAACTAACTCGTACACCAACTGACTCGTATATTCGTATGCAAATTACAGATGTCAATTCGTACACATTCTTTTCATTTTTTCTCACATGAAAAATCAATTCGTACGCACATTGTTTTTCTTTAAAGTTACTGAATATTTGTTGAAAAAATATTTGAAGATGATTGTTTCACTATCTAACTCTGAAATCAAATACTAAATTTTATTAATTGCTAAACAACACAGGGCTGTTTCTTAAATACTGCTTTGTGGAATTTTTATACAACAACACTTAAATAGTTTATTGTTATTTAACAGTCTTTTGATTGTTTGAATTTCTTTTATCTGTTTACAATGCTATATTAGTAAAACAAATACATGTATTTTAGGAAAGAAGAAAAAAGATTACTACATCTTAATACGTTAATAAAAGGGTTGTTGGAGGTATCTGATGCCATAAAATTTGCCCAGGCACGTAGCATCGTTTTTGAAAGTGGGGGGGCCAACCTGAGAATTTTTTTTTAATTACCTGAAAAAGTTTACAAGCAAAAAAAAAAAAAAAAAAAAAAAAATGAAAAAGTTCCCAAACACGAAAATCCGATTTCGGGGGGGGGGGGGGGGGGGGGGGGGGGGGGGTAGTGGCCAACTTTTTTTCAACACCAACTATCTTTCAATTCAAACTTTTTGGGGTAAATTTTCTTTATAACACTATAACACTACACTGTGCTGAAATGTGGGGGGGCCAACCTTCCTTTCAGTAAACATTTTCTATAGTAAAGGTAATGTCGGGAGAAAAAGTGGGGGGTCCAGGCCCCCCCTGGCCCCCCTGATACTACGTGCCTGTTGCCAACTTTATTACCATTTAGTTTTTAAAAATAAAACTTTGTCTGATTATCTTGGACACAAAAACGACTTAACGGATACTAATTTGTCAAATCTATAATAACAAATACTGTAATGGACAAGAGTTACCCATATATTTCATTCCTATTTTAAAACTCTAACATGCTCTAATAAAGTTACAAAAAAAGTTCTCAAATACATGTGCATGAAATAATACTAGTATTAGGATTTTCATGCAATATTAGTGGGCTGAATTTAGGTCAGTCTTCTGGTGTGTTCACAGAGCAATAAAAATGTATTGCGCAATGACTCGCAGGGTCATAGCATATCTTGATATTACGTATGAGAAATACCATCATCGCAAACCACGGCCAAAATGTACGATCTTCTCGCATTCTGGAGAGAGGTTCATACGCATACAGACTCCGACCGTGACTTGAGACGACGGAAAATAGAGACAGAAAATATTTTGTATTGTGCATTTCTCTTTTTTTTTCTAGCAGCATACGAGGGTTGTCATGTACAAATCGTTTTTCCCGAAAAGTAGTGGGCGCTGCAAGATTTAATTTTTAGCAAGTATTTATTTATTATATCTTAGTGTATCTGAATTCTTTTGATAAAATATAGACAAAATTTTAATACTTTATTAACATGGTTTAATGTACTTACGCATGATAAAAAAAGGTTTACTTTACTTTTTAGTACAAAAATATAAATTTATATATTAAAATACAGGGCCCGGTTGTTCAAAAGTTGGTTAAATTTAACACAGTGGTTAAGGATAACTATGTGTTAAACCTTAATCATATGATTAGCTAACACAGTGGTTAAATTCTGTTGTTCAAAAGCAATTTAACGCATTGGTTAGCTAACACTGTGTTAACTGCTTAATCACTTGGTAATCACTTGGTTACCCCATAATGCACTTCTACTTCCTTTGTACACAATCATTGCTGACGTCGTCTGCTTGAAAAAGAATAGGAAAGCTAGGAGCACTAATTTCTCCTTAACTGAGGTAGAAATTATCAAAAATGAAGTAAAACTTCATCCTATTCTAGAGGCAAAACATAGTAACACGGTTACTAATGCTAAGAAGCAAGCCATTTGGCTTGAAATTGTCAGGAAAGTAAATGCTGTAGGGGTGGCAAAGAGGAGTTTGAGCGAAGTAAAAGACAAATGGCGTAACATGTGTCGGGAGGCCAAAATGAAATTTACCGAGAACAAAAGACAGGAGGAGGGCCTCCACCCACCCCTCTTTCCCAGACAATGCAGGATGTTGTCGACATGTATAAGGATGCCAGTTCCTTCCATGGGATTGAGGGGGGCATTGAAACCTCAATGCCTGGCTGTTCTGGTAAAATATGACTTTTTTGTGTTCATCAACAATAATCTTTTCTAATATGCTCATTATCTCTATATTTCATATGTATAAAAATAAAAAAAATAATGGGAAAATGATTAAAACTGTGATTAGAAGCTAGGCCAAAACACACAATGAAATAATGTCAACCTGTACTTTCATTGAATTTACTTTGTTTAAATAACTATATAATTATTTAATTATTACTTTATCACTTCAAAATAATATACTACTTCATTCAAAATATTGTACTTTAATCGGAAAAAAACTGTACAATATCCCATGATATTAGGCCTTAGCCGCCTACTTGACTTTGATGATTTTCGTCTGCTTCAAAACATGAAACCTTACTCAGTTGCTGTTAATTAAAATCTATATTTAAGACCTTCAAAAGGTTGGGTTATCTTTTCTGTCGTTATAAGGCCTATCTTTTATTTTATAAACCCAATTAACGCTGTTAACCATGATTGAATAGTTAACTTATATTGTCCTTTTTTCCGTATTTTCTTTCGATTTTGTTTACGTGACCTTGACCTTTTGATGGGGCTACTGTAGATCTAATACAATTTAACAAATCGAAAATATCAATCTAACACTTGGCATGCATGTAGAATTGCGATCGAACATGAAAGGTTTTAGTTTAGAAATTACATTATAATGCTCTCAGATTGCCGTTTGTAATCTTCCAAGTATGCCCTTCGAGTCAAAATGAAAATTAAGAGGCGAACTCACCATCAACATGTGCATCGGGTGTTTAAAATTTGATTAGCTTAGCACAAAATATGTTTCTTACATCTTGATTGATTATTTTTATTTTGAATTTGAGAGAAAAGTAGATTTCATATTAGTTGCAGTAATTAATCTTCAATTAAAATGGGAAGAATGAGGATACGGATGTCGAATCCGAAAATAATACACGTGGTTTGATCTATTTATATATGTCTCTGGTGTGGATCCATCTGAAGAGCCTCAACAAGTTTAATCAACCAATGCTTTAATACACATTCTGAAGTTATAGATAGGGTATAAATGGATTTTAAGATAAATAACTGTAATGCCCATCTTATCATCTTGACAAAAATTCAGAGTAAGGGGGGAGGGGGTGCCAATTTTTTCTAACATTAAAAATGTTTGTTTATAAATACATGTGGATTTGTTTCATTTAAAAAATAACAAATTTTAGAAGAAGAAAAAAACAAGAAAAATCACAAAATAACTATTCTTCAAGATGAAAAGAATATAAAAATTTAAAAGAATTTAAAAATATGACTTTGTATAGAATAAAGAAAATTAATTATTATTTTTATGTGTTCAATCATACAAATATAAATATCTATAAGAAAAGCGCTATAAATATCAAAAGTAAATATTTGATTAAAGATGTTGTCTGATAAATTTATGCTGTGAGTATATATATAAGAATTGCTTCATGAGGCTGCATACTACCATGGCAGTGCATGTGTATATAGGTAAGAAAGACTAATAATAATGATTTTTTTTCTATAGTAATATCCTCCATGGCAGTATCTCCCACTCAGACTGTAACTAAGGATCATGATGTGGACATTTGGCAAGATGCTTGTGAGAACCTTCCTGTGCCACCCCAATCTCCAGCAAGTCATGCATTCATTGTCATGGAGACACCCTTAGAGGAACCCCTTTCCCCACCTAGTCCACCAAGACAACTATGTGCCTCATGTAAATATCGCAGCAATATAATCATATACTTTCATGTTCTCAACTACTAAGAAAAAAAATAATTAAAAATAAAAGAAGGTAACAAAAATGTAAAAGTCAAAGACTTTAGTTCACTGACCATGCAGCAAGAATGGTACACATGTCCATTTTCCTTTTAATGAGATGGCGTATTCATATTTTTCTCATTGAAACCATAGCAATTTAAGCTGCACCAATTCAGTCTTGACTCTTGAAGATTAACATTTAAAATGCAAGATCCATAAAATAAATCACACAATATATGTTTTTTGTATATTTTATGCAGCATTGCCTGTCAGTACATGTAGTAGAGATCCAAACCAAGGAAAAGAGAGGTAAGGTTGTTCTCTCTCTCTCTCTTTATGCCCCTGTAATTAAATATTCAAGGGTACATGCATATATAGTTTTTGTACTGTCCGTCTGTCGGTCTTAAGCTTTCTATTTGTCGATCTGTAAAAACTTTAACCTTGTCTATGACTTTAGAGTGGGTGGTGTAAATATTTTTGACCTCTTGACCTTAAACATTGAGACTTTTGAAATATTTTAACCTTGGCCATATATAACTCTTGAAAAGGTGGTACCGTAACTATGGTTTTCATAGTTATTCCTATGGCAATGCCTTAAATTCTTTTGGATACCAATAATTTTGATCATTTGCCTTGACCTTGGAGTTTGACTTGCATTGGAGAAAATTCAACTCTGACAATTATGCTGCGACACGGGATCATCAGTGTTTCATAAACACATCTTGTTTCATTCTAAAACCCAACATGTAGTCTATAAATTGTAACATACTTATACTCTTGAGGTATCACTGTAAAAATTTTCAAAAAATGCTGACAATTTTTTTAATATATATACATGTTTTTATTCCATAGATGTACATTTACATGAATTATCTGTATAAAGTATAAAAAAAAAAACAGTCATAAAAATTAAATAAATAGATTAAATCTATTTATGACTATGACATACAATGTCAGAATACATTTGATTTCCTTATAAAACACATGTTCTGTAATATAAAGAATTTGATTTAAAAAAATATTTGAAAATCAAAATTATTTCAGGGAGAAGCGCAAGAGTGTGAAAAGGTCGGTGGAAGACGTATACAGGTTGCAGTGTGAGGTGCTGGAGGAGGAGAGAGAGAAGATCAAGAAGGAGAAAGAAAAATTAGATTTACAGATTCAGCTGTTACAAAATATTCTTAAAAGACAGGATGACGACAATACAGAGCTTTTTGCCTCACTCATGTAAACAAAATGGTCAATGCTTTAATTCTATAACTTTCCATAATACATTACTTATAGTCCCCTAGTCTATGTTAGAATTGAAATGTTACATAAAATGTACTAAGTTTAAAGTTCTCTTGAGAGAAAATGTATAATTCAATATTATGAAAAAATCAACAAAATATAATTTTATAGAAATAGTTTTCAGCTTAAAATGTGTCAAAATATGGAACATTGAACCAGTGGTTTCAGATATTTTGGTGATAACAAAAAATAATAACAACAAATAAGAGTTTCAAAAGTTAGTATATTATGATTTCACAATATTTGATCTTTGACCTCTTAATATTTCCATGACCTTTCTTATACATAAAGGGTTGAGACTCCTTCCCATGGCAAAGTGGAAGGCAGTTATTAAGCAGTTTCTTAGCCTTAACAGTTTAAACATTTAAGCAGTCCTAGAGCAGTTACTTAACCTTCCCCAGATTGCTAATGGATGAACAAACCTTTTGCAATTTATAAGCAGTTTTCTTAGCCTTACCAGTTTCTTAGCAGTTCATAGGCAGTTTCTTAGCAGTTCATAGGCAGTTACTTAAGCAGTTCATAGGCAGTTACTTAAGCAGTTTTTGCTAATTGCTAGTGGACTTCCAGTATACTGCTTATCTATATCCCTTTTACCACATAAATATTAATGAATCACAAAGACGTTTTCTGGTATCAAACTTGAAATACTAAGCAATAATAGATCAATTGTTACATTTTAATTTATTGTATTTTGTACAATTGTATAACTACACAATCAAGCAATCAGAGATTGCTATGATGAATGTTTAAAATTTTTCAAACACAGTGACTGTTTTATGTGTCTGTTATTTTACATGTATCTTATTTACATAAACAACCATGCAGTTATACTCACTGACTTTTTAGAAAACTTATATATCCCAGGGCATATAATGCTCAACAAGATTCAACACTTTAGGGTATAATCAAAATGTCAAAATTAAGAAACAGCAATAAATATCCACTTCATACATTAAACAGCAGTTATTGCTTTTTTAAGAGCCTTGTCATCGCTATTGTGGTCCTTAAAGTCTCTTTTTCTATTACAAACAGTTCCAGAAAGGCTTGATAGCGAAAATTAATTGTCGCGAACAAGTTTACTCCCGGTAAATCGCGAAATAAAGTCGTCGCGAATAAAAGTTGGTTAACAGTATTGTTGGGATTTTCTATATCCTTATATAAACCACAAAAGTATTTCAATTGGCACTGTTTTGGTATATATATATATATATATATTTGTGTATGCAAACTACAGTTTTGTCCCACTCCTGTTCTAAAAGTCTGTAAATGGAAAGGAAATTAATTATGAAACAGATTGTAATTCAATTTATCTCTTTATTAAAGGCCACATATATATTGTACTTACCAGTTGTTAAAAATTTTTTCTAAATTCTGTGTGAACAATACAACATGGCACCCAGAATTCAATTTTGGCGATCAGTTGTTGAGTTCCTGTTGTTAATATTTGTTGGAACATTGAGCCCAACATAAAATTTCTCTTGAACCCAATCAAATTATACAAGGAAACTGCTTTTATACTGCTTACAAAACTGTTTAGGAAAGCTGTCTTGTCCTCAAGCATATGCAGCTAAGATATAACTGCAAGAGAAACTTATTACTGCTTAAAAACTGCTAAGGAAAACTGTTTACTCCCAAGGCCCTAGCAGTTATTAGGGAGCAGTAAAAACTAAACTGCATGAAACTGTTTGAAAACTGCTAAAAATTTGTAAAACTGCTAAAGAACTGCCTAATAACTGCCTATATAGGCAGTTCACTTTTCCATGGGTTAATATCAGAACTGATTTCTTTAAGGTGATAGCAAATCATGGCATAAACATAAACAGTAATAAAAATGTAATCTCTTGAAATGTTACAGTTATTTCTTTTATTTTAAAAATCAAAAAAATCTATTCTGTGTGACATCAAAAATGGGGGACTATCATTTTCTGAATTTTCTTGTTTGTATTGTTATATATACTTACAGTTTAATACCAGTAACTGTTAATTGTTATAGAGTGTGCCAAAATCTGTTTCAGTTTATGAATTAAATGAATTTTTTTAAATTATTTAAGAACATGATAATTATAATGTGATATTTTGATTTAAAAGTTACTTGTTATACCTGTTTGTTGTACTCAGCATAAATTCATATTTAAGATATCTATTATATCTTTGTTGACATGTATTATACTGTTAAACTGATAGAATTTAATCGCTGATTAATAAAATGTTGCTTATAGAGTTTCCTATCATTCTTATTTAAGGTACATGTAATCCAGGCATAACTAACCATTAATTTATATGTTTACCCTAATATGATGACCTTCATGTGTTAGTGAAGAGTTATCTCCTCTTGATTTAAATCATTTGATAAATAGAGAATAATACATACCCTTTTCCACATCACATCCTGTATCAGCCCGAGACACCAATATCAGCCAGAGGGCCGAAGGCCCGAGGGCTGATATTGGTCGAGGGCTGATACAGGATGTGATGTGGAAAAGGGTATGTTTTATTATATTTATTACATACTTAGTAATAAAATACAGAACACATTCAGTTGAGAAGAAAATAAGTAAATAACCATGCATGTACTTCTTACATACATGTACATAGTCTAATGTTTCATACGATTTGGGTTTGTTTCTACTTCTATTTCAATGCACTTGATCCGTAGTAATTTGAAAATAATCTATAGTATTACATGTATTTGTAAATTAAGATTAACCTTATTTTCAAAAAGTTAAAATTAAGAGAATATGAACCCACCAAAAATTGTATATGATCACAAGTACTGTTATTGTGGTTTAATTTACTAAGGGTGTGATATTGACGTCACAATAGCCCTATCAGCCCTGCAGGGCTGATATGGATTTGCAGGGCTGATACGGATATCAGCCCCGCAAATCCATATCAGCCCTGCAGGGCTGATACGGCTATTGTGACGTCAGCCATATCGCATATGCACAAAAACCTGTATTTATTACTAAGTGTGTAATAAATAGAGAATAATACATACCCTTTTCCATATCACATCCTGTATCAGCCCGAGACACCAATATCAGCCAGAGGGCCGAAGGCCCAAGGGCTGATATTGGTGTCTCGGGCTGATACAGGATGTGATGTGGAAAAGGGTATGTTTTATTATTATTTATTACATACTTAGTAATAAAATACAGAACACATTAAGTTGAGAAGAAAATAAGTAAATAATCATGCATGGACTTCTTACAGAAATATACATGATCTATTGTCTCATACTATTTGGGTTTGTTTCTACTTCTATTTCAATGCACTCGATCCGTAATTTAAAATAATCTATTACATGTATTTGTAAATTAAGATTTAAACCTTATTTTCAAAAATTTAGAATTAAGAGAATAATAAAAAAACAAAAATTGTGTACAATCACAAGTACTGTTTTTGTGGTTTGATTTACTAAGGGTGTGATATTGACGTCACAATAGCCGTATCAGCCCTGCAGGGCTGATATGGATTTGCGGGGCTGATATAGGTTATCAGTCCCGCAAATCCATATCAGCCCTGCAGGGCTGATACGGCTATTGTGACGTCAGCCATATCGCATATGCAAAAAACCTGTATTTATTATTAATAAAGTGAAGTAAACAAAAACAATGGTCAGTGAAATCATTCCTAATAATGTAGCTAGATGAACCAATCTATAATTTCCATGGAATAGTTTAAATTTGGTAATTATGGCAATATTTTTTTTTAATTTGTAGCTGGTGAAATCATTCCTTTTCTACTAATGATGTTTCAATTTAACACTTTTAGCATATTTCATTTCTAAGAGGTAATTATTAATAGTTATGATATGATATTAAGTCTTATTATGGGTACAATTCCTTATACATATTCAAATATCAGTTATTAGCTAAAGTAATGCTGTGTTACATAGTCCCGCACCCCTCTTCCATCTTGTTGGCCTTGAAATGCAGGTACCTGGGGCTGGTCTTCCTCAACTTCATCATCATCCTCAGGCTCTCCAAGGTTAATGGCGATGTTGTGGAGGACAACACATGCTATGATGATTCTGCATGCCCTGTCAGGCTTCATTCGTATCTACAATCACAATGCATTGAAAGTGTAAATTTACCTGCATTATAAGCATGAAAAGCAAGATGTTTTTGCTGAAACACTATGCGCAAAGTTCCAAAAACTATTTTTAGCATATAGGTCACAGTCAAAGTCACAAGGTCATTGGCCTTGATGTCCATTGAAAGAGCTTAATTAGTGAAGTAAGCAAACCAACCTTATAAAGTCTTCATCTTTCATGGTTCAATAGTTATGTGAAAAGTTCGAAAAAGCTATTTTTAGCATCTAGGTCACAGTCAAGGTCATAAGGTCATTGACATTGATGTCATTTGAAAGGACTTTTCCAGTGGAGTATGCATGCATACCTAATATGAAGTCTCTATATCTCTCATGGTTCAAAAGTTATTGTGAAGGTTAAAGTTGACAACAGACAGACAGACAGACAGATAAACAGACAAACAGACAGGGCAAAACAATATATGCCTTGGATCTATCGAGGGCATATATATATAAAAATTGTTTTACTGTAAATAGCACTTACATGTATTTAATTTTGTCAACAAAAAAAAAATACTTGATTGTTAATATATTAAACAACATACCTCTGAGTGAAGAACATGAAACCTTCGTTTGAGCCGTCCAAAGGTGCGCTCAATTTCACTTCTTGTTCTTGCATGGGCTTGATTGTACTTCTCCTCAGGTTCAGTCTGGGGATTGGCATAAGGAGTTAAAAGAAATGGTCGGCAAGCATATCCACTATCTCCTAGCAGAACTCCATTTTCAAATAGTCCATTTTCTTCCTCCTCCAAATATGTTCTGATCTGACAAATACAATTCCAAGTCAACTTACAAAATAATCCTTATCCATATATAGACTCTCAATATATTTGTTGTGAATAACAGATTTAAGGAAATAAATTGAGATAAAGATCATGAAATGGGTATAAAATGCACTCATGAGAGAATGGAAGTTATATGATGAGAGAGAAGGATCAAATGTGTGTTGCATGCGATCAGCACTCTTTAAAAAATTATTTAAATATTATGATATTGTCCTTATACCTGTGATGTTCTGAAGATGTGGGAATCATGTACAGACCCAGGCCAGGATGCATTGATGTTTGTAACTTTTCCTGTAATAGATTTAGTTAAGTAGCAGTTATAGTTATCAACAACTAGTAATTGATTATTACTTACATTGTATCATTATCAAATTGATTTAAATCACATGCACTTTCTATGAAGTGTGTGTGGGGGGGGGGGGGGGGGGGGGCAGGTGGGGCAGGTGGTGCATTATTTAATATCAATATAACTGTGGAGGACATTACTTGCAATGTCACAGATTCAGTGTTGTATATTCAACAACCAATTGCAAATACATATGGAAAATTCATGATGTATATCATTCAAGATTAGATTCATTTAAAAAAATGAATATTGGACTAAAATTATTTTTTAAATTATTTTCAATATTTACACTTATATCTTCAGATCAATCTCCTTTTCAATTTTTATTTACCACATGAATTTATTTTTCTTGTACATGCACTACTCTTGTGTGACAATGCACTGATGTATTCTAACAGGTACTTGTTGTAAAATGAATACTCAGTATATGGATCCGCCACATCTTTTTTCGAAGGGGAGGTTAATCTACATGACATGCATAGATCATTTAAAAAAAAAACGTTTAAACAATTAATACACAACTACAGTACGATAATTATGGAAGAGGGATTGTTAAAGGATGTGTGAAAAACCTATTAATTCAATACAAGTATATAGAAATTACGAAGTTTTAGTAAATGTTTAAAAACCCCATCGAACGAAAATGATACAAGGGGCCTGAAAAAAGTCAGTTATATTCCTACCATCGTGGTCACATACAGCTTGGACGTTGATACTGTGGTATCCTTTCCTATTTAGGAAGGAATTTTCGTCATGTGATGGGGCCTGGATCCGTACATGAGTCCCATCGATGCATCCGACTACATTGGGGAAACCTGCTAGCCGGTAAAACCCAGTTTTGATGCTAGATTTTGTTGTTGCGTCAGGCCATCGAATAAATGTGTCAGCTTTCATAACCAGTGCTTCGGTGACTCTCTTAATGGTGCGGGATACTGTGCTTTTGTCAAACCCTGTTCAAATTTGAATAACTTGTATATTTTTTTTCTATATCGACAGACTCTTTAATCAGCGTTTTACTTTAATCATGCATTATATAAACACGACGTTTTCAAAGCACTGTGTCGATTTTATTTCACTTGAACTTTAATAATAAATTTTCAACTTGAGTGTATTTTTTAACAGTTATGTAGTATGTGTTCCGTAGTTCTTTAATTGTACCTAGAGTGTCCCCGACAACCTGCAAAAAGCTGCCACTTGCAAGGTAGCGCAAGGTAATCATTACTTGATGCTGGACGCTAAGCGCACAGTTCCTATTGGTGGCTCTTTCCAAGTCATTTTTGATGACATCACCAATAAAATTTATGCCATGCTGACCAAACCGGTACCTTCTTCTCAATTCAGCATCAGTCCAACCTTCTAAATTCGTGTGAAGTCGGAAAACACGCTGTTTTCTGGGTCCAGGCGGGTGATTTAGAAAGTTGGCGGCCATATTTAATCACGGTGTTAACTTCTTAATCTACCTACCGTAGGTGGATTAAATTTAACACAGATTTAACACCTTGTTAACACAAACACAATTTTGAACAACAGTTAACCATGTGGTTAAATTTAACACATTATTTAACACAGAGAAAACACTGTGTTAAATTTAACCATCTTTTGAACAACCGGGCCCAGGTAGATATATGGTGAAAAATTGACATAAACTTTTATAATTTGAATATCATTTTACAAAATCTTACATTTTTTCTGATTTACTGCCAGTTGCGATTTGACGTAGCGGGTTTGCTTTGGACTCATGGACCTGAAGAAGTCCATCCTTACGTCGCGGATTGGACTCCCACTGCGTGACATGGATATCGGCCCTTAATTCAGATTGAAATCCAGTGTTGCAGTTAATTTCTAGCCAGAAAAATATCTCTCGCTGCTAAAAATTTTATTCTCGAAAAGAACATTACACAAATAAAATCATTCATACTACCGTCTTTCAGTACTCACAGTACTTTGATTCTTTTCTCTTTATAGTTTTAGTGCAGTGCATAGGAAGATGATAGACTCGGCTATCAACACTGCTTTAAGAATCACATCTTCCATTTTTATTATTTTCACAGTGAGAGAGAAATATGGCGGGGGAAATACATGTGGAAATAAGTAGTTTATTTCTAATCTTACGATATGCATTAGCGTGAGTACATGAAAGCATAATGAAACAAAAGTAATATACTTGTATTATACTACAAATCTAATAATGTTTACCGGCATTACCATTGCATCAATGTATTTCAATACAAAAATTTATATTCATGGCATAAGAATCATCGAGAGAACTAGAGCAAAGCTCGTTGCAAAGCAACGTGTAGGTCTTCCGTCCTATTTGACCGGAAGTAACTTTTATTTAAAAAAAAAGAGAAATGAAGTCTCTGATGATTTAAATCTTCTAAATCTATGTTGAAAATTGCAAAAGTAAGCCATTTTTCGCTACTTCCTGTTTGACCAGAAGTGACGTCGACGGACGGAAAATTAAGTTTCATGCTTCCAGTGACAAATATTTCCCCAAAACATGTTAAAAACGGCAAAAATATGCAGTTCTGGACTACTTCCGGTTTGGCGGGACGTGACATCACAGGACGTTTTTTACAAGTAGATTTTACAAGAAATTTTCAACAACTTTGCTTCTTTGATGTATAGCAAGTTCTCAATACTTTTTGAGATATCTTGAAAAAACTTAAGGCCCCTCTAGATCCCTTAATTTAGGGGTCAGCCCTTTTTCCGAGATATCATTTGAAAGATATTTGAATTCTGCACAAATTAAGTTCTATATATTTTAACATAATATTTTTAGTTTAGAAGATAAAAAGGAAAATATGAGTAATTTTTGGCTCTTTTAAGCGTTTTAATTTTTGACCCCTATATAGCGCCATTTTGAATAGAGAAATCGAAAAACGAAAACCGATGTGCACAACTTCAATCCTTCTATTATCTAAATCAGTAGAATTTTTGCTCCAGTTTAAGCTGTCCCTGAGCCTTTGTCTGGAAACGAAAGCCTAATGATTTTCGTTTAAAGGGAAATAACTCGAAACCGGAAGTGACTTTTTGATATTTTCGACAGCATTCTGATAGAATTTAATAACTTCTAGTATCTCTGAAAATTTGAGCGAAATCAATTTAGAAATAATTGAGATATGAGGCTTCAAAGTTAGCGTCTAGGAAGTAGAAAAAAAAAGAATAATAATCTTTACCAAAAGAATCAGTAGAAGGTCTTCCGTTGGAAACGGAAGACCTTACAATAACACGCACTACTGAATACAGGGTTATTTTAGTCCAAGTGAGGATAGGTCCAGAGAGGCAAAAATTTTCCTTTATACAGTATTACTTTTATATTCACCTGAGCATTTGGAAAAAGCACACATCACATCAGAACTGAAAGTTTACTGAGGGGGGGGGGTATCTTGAATTTTAACCCCCCAGGGGGTCATGATTTGAACAAACTTGAATCTACACTACCTGAGGAAGATTCCTTATAAATATCACTAAGCATGGCTTTAAAGTACTTGAAAAGAAGTTTTTTTAAAGGTTTCCCTAGATATTCGAATGTAAAACTTTTATCGGCCATTTGACCCCACTCTACTGCCGGGGGTCATGATATGATCAAACTTGAATCTACACTACCTGGGGATGATTCCACATGAGTTTCATCTTTCCTGGTCCAGTGGTTCTTGAGAAGAAGATTTTTAAAGATTTTTCCAATATATTCCTATGTAAAACTTTGATCGGCCATTTTGGCCCCACCCTACCCCTGGGGGTCATCTTTGAACAAACTTGAATCTACACTACCTGAGGATGATTCCACATGAGTTTCATCTTTCCGGGCCCAGTGGTTCTTGAGAAGAAGATTTTTAAAGATTTTTCCTATATATTCCTATGTAAAACTTTGATCGACCATTTTGGATCCACCCTACCCCTGGGGGTCATGATTTGAACAAACTTGAATCTACACTACCTGAGGATGATTCCACATGAGTTTCATCTTTCCGGGACCCGTGGTTATTTAGGAGAAGATTTTTTAAAAATGTCATTAATTTTTCTCTAATTCATAGTTATCTCCCCTTGAAAAAGGGCGTGGCCCTTCATTTTAACAAACTTGAATCCCCTTTACCCAAGGATACTTTGTAGCAAGTTTGGTTGAAATTGACCCAGTGGGTCTTTAGAAGAAGATGAAAATGTAAAAAGTTTACAACAACGACAACGCCAACGACGACAACGACAGACAACGGACACATTTTTGATCAGAAAAGCTCACTTGAGCCTTTGGCTCAGGTGAGCTAAAAAGTATATACGTTAAAAATGCGTGACTGCAGGGAAGGGGGTTAAATCATCTACATTACTAAAACTCAAGATATTCAAAATCTAAAGACATTAAGTCTGTTTTCGGTTCATCGTCTTGGACTTAGGGCACATATCATACACAAAAAGTTAACATTCTACAGACTGTTACTAAAGTTCTGACAGTTGTATATAGCAGGAAGCATATAAGTTATTCCTGAATAATTATGATAATTACACCAACATATGCCAACCATTTGAACGTGCAAACAATATTAAAATAATATAGAAACGCTTTTGAGTAATTGCTTTAGCAAAAATTACTATTATGATCAGATTTATTTATTTCCAATTTCTCCGTTCGTTTATAGCTTTTTTAAGATTGATAATTTTAAGTTGCACGATACTAGATCAACAAACATTTTTCTTTCTTGCTTTGAGCAACATTTCATTAAACGAAATAACTGAAAATTTCCACATCATGAATTTCTACCAATCACAAATAAGAGGAAGTGCAAAGTCTGAATACTGTAGAATACTTCAACTCTTCCTTCGAAGGAATATTGCCATCATTATAATGTCTTTTGCGGTGTATTTAACGTGTACATCAACATTGAATGATGCATAAAATGAAATAGATGTGAATTCAACAAGAAAAAACACTAAGATTTGTCTTTATAGACTTTTTAAAATTCAATTGGTACACAGAATTTCATTTTAGAAAAAAAAAAAATCAAGATGCAAATATTTTTTAATATTTTTTATTAAGTAATTTTATGTGGAGAGTTTAAGAAGTTTTAGTAAATTATAGAAATAATCTAGAATAAACTTGATTTAACAAGAAATGTTCAATGTTCCTTTAACCTCATCATCATTCGGGTTGAACTCATGACATGAGAAAATGTATTATTCCAGTAGTACCACGTTAATCCCTGATATCCAACAATTCCATACAGCCCGTTCAGATTGCTGAGCCCACATGACACATACCACCATCCACTTTGACCAAACGAAGCACAGTTAAAACCTTCATATGCATCATTATCCATGTCATATGTAGAAAACTTGAATCCACTATGAGGACCTAAACTGTCGGCTGAATAATTATCAAGTGCAAAAATAGAAGAGTTTCACATCAGTTAACCATTGGATTAATTGTAAAGAATTAGATTAATACTTTTGAGATGAATTAAGGGGAAAATTAATTTCATATGTAAAGATGTTCTGTAATATTCTCTTTCCTTAAAATACAATAAATATATGTTATATATAAGTTATTAAAAAGCATAGCTACACTAAGTTAAAAGAAAAATATACACTTTTCGTTGATATGTTAAATCAAAAAGACCGAATACTTCATATCTGTAAGCAGGGTTTTATCATAACGAAAAAATGAAAGGATTTTAGTTGTTTTTTTTTTACTGGAGTAATACAGATCAATCAACGAAGATAATTTGCTATGAAATCATCCTTCTAAATGATCATAATGCTATTGTAAATATCACTTAAACTTATAATGTTTAAAATCTTCATGAATCTATGAACTTACATGCATTTCCAGTATATCCTGTGATGGTTAATTTATATAAAGTTTCAGGGCTGTCTACCGAGAACTGGGAGTACTTGGCATACCGATATTCTCCTAATTGGTCAGTCAATTCAATTCTGAGCTCAAAATTTCTGTCTCCGCTTATCTCATGTAGAGCTTGATTACCTATAATTATATTCAAAAAAATTTGCATACATTTTTGTTAGCAAAATAGTAAATACTCCAAAATAAATGAATAGATAAATTATTGAAAATAAAAAATATATAAATCTATAAAAACTTTTTTGACTTAAAACGATATCAATTTATTTAAATTAATAATCCATCATTACAATATAATGCTTACTTATTTTTTTAATAGAATACACGAGTTTTCTATAACATCTAAATACACCATTTTTTTTTTACTTTTTAGAAAATTTAGTAAAAACACTCCTTCGGCGATACAAAAATCAAAGGGAGATCCAATACCTTTTTATTCTTTTGATAGAAAAATTAATACACTTATGTGTCGCAGTCATGTTTACTTATCGGATAGTTGGATAGTGACGGTGTATCCCGATAAAATTCTTAACATTGCTACTGTACAAAATATATAATATATATTATCTAATGATCAGGGTATTTCATTTTAAAGAACTATATGCGGTATATTGCATATATTTGCCCCCCACAAAAGTCAAATTTTGAAAACTTCCTGAAATGTGCTGAATTCAATAAATTGTATGAGAAATATAAATTAACAGAAAATATTATAATGTCAAAGCAGTGTATTCACGATTTTTGTTTTTATGACGTCACAAACTAGTCCGATTTTAAATCCTTTTTCAGAAAGAGGACAAAATGGACAAAATTTCAACAATTTTAGCTTTAAAATGTTTGCGACGTCATTACGTACATATGGCGTCATTACTTATGAAAATATTCAGTGCTTTGAAGTCAGCATATACTTCGCTGTTAAATAACTTAATTGAATATATCTCCATCAAAGTTTGATTTTGGGGGCAAATATTGGTTATATTAGCGAATAAAGTTCTTTCCTGTGTATACCTAGGTAGAATTCTGTATCCAGAGTTCCAAATCCGTCGGAATACTCAGTCCAGTTTCTGTCAAAATCTACACTTCCGTCCATACGCTTTTGAAAGACCTTTCAGAGGAATGTCAGTAAAGCATATTAATTTAATAGCATTTTATCATTTGTATTGCATCTAATCAGAGCAAGTTGAAACAGAAATTCAACCACTGATATCTAGAATTTTCCTATTTTTTTATTTTTGAAATATAATGTACTACTTCTACATTGCTGCATACATGAAAAAAAAGGGGGGTATTTTGTTTCCATTATACTATCATTACGATTTGTGTATCCGAGTTTTCCAAATTATCATTTCCGAATTTCTCAAACTGAATTATTGGTATTCATTTCATTTACGTTCACTTATTCTGAAATAGTCATGCATAGGCTATGAAGTTATTAAAAGAGATTTAATGTACATGTATATGTAATTTTAAAAAAGAAATTACAGAAATTGAACACATTTTTAAAACTGATTTTACTTACAATCCACCGGCCTCCATCAGTTGTCATGTCGCAAAACAGATTGCAAGTTTTACCATTTGTTAACGTTATCGAATATTCATACGAAGATGTTGATGGAGAAACCAAATTTCCACTGCAACCTTAAATCAACACAATTAATTTTTATAAGGTATCTTAAGTTTCTAATAAATATTACATACAATGGCAAATAAAAACGACATGACAGAATCTTACCAAATTTTAAATTACATCTTTCTGTTACACGATTTTCAGGACATCTACAGGGTTGTGTAAAATCTCCTTCACACAGCTGTTTCTGTATATTGTTAAAGAGTAAATCTCATATATTTTAATATCATAATATACATGCATGTTTAAAATTAAAACTCAAGATTATGCATTAATCCTCCGTCTAGTAGTTCTGTCTGTCTGTAATATTTTCGTTTTCACTTGATATCTCAACTTTTTAGTTTTTCTATCGTCAACTTCCCTTACTTATTCAGCAATATACCTTCATCATATTAAACCGGAGTTTATATATCTCAGTTGAATCGATACGCAAGAGCATGCTCTACGTATGAACAATTTCTAAAATGATGTTAATTATTGACCAAAAAGATGATGAAACAAGAATACCGGTATCAGCAGTCTCGTTTAAACTCATCATTTTGTAGGTTCTATGGTTGATGCACTGGCCTTGTCAGCAAATACAATTTATCATTGAGTCAAATGCTGACTGACACTTTTCATACTAATTGTTAGTCCAATATTTATACACTGAATTGACGACAGATTTTTTCAATGATTTCCCGAGCATGACAAGGAGCACATAGCGGGCGTGACCGAACAGAAGGGTATGCGCACTCCTCAAAGGCACCTGATCCCTCCTCTGATGTTCTGGAGGTCCGTATTTGCTCTGCTCCTGTTTTGTATTGTTTTATTGACGTTTGATCTTGAATACTGTTCGTTATCTGCATATATATATATATGCATTTTGATTTTTTTTTAAAACATGAACTCCTCCTCCAGATGGTTTTGTCGAAAAAAAAAATAATTTGGGCTACAATACTTTTAAAAACCTTATTCTAAACTTTGCCAGATGAATGTATTTATTTTCTTTAAAGTCATACTTGAGAATTTTAAACAGGGGAATTTTCGTCCCATTTTTACTTTTGCCCTTTTCGTCCCAGCCTCTGCTGAGCAAAGAGGAGGATTTAAAGAATACAGTACAATGTCTTAAACAAAACTGTGACTGGGTGAATTCAAAACACGACAAAATTATTTACAAGAGGGAAATGGCGAAAATAAAACGAGGCAAAAATTATCTTGTATACAGTATTATCATAGTGTGATAAATATTTTATATTTAAAAATATTCATGTAAAAAATATTGAAATAATCGTCAAATATATCCATATTGGCATATTAGAATATCCTTCACCTCAGCATGGGACACAATTCTCTGAATTAGCTTGTCCAACGTAAATCTAAATATTTTCCTAAGTGCATAACTTGATAAAGACATAGTCATTTAAACCATAAATGTTTGAATTCGTACACACAATTCATACAGATCGCACTCCAAGTACGACCAACTTCCTACGAAAAAATCTTTCCATTAGACTAAGACAAAAAAAACAACTTACCAATTTGTAGCGCCGACACGGTCCACCGCCTGCCTGCATAGTACTTGTTCTGTTTCTGTCGTACTGGTAGCAAGTCTGTGTACCACTATTACCACAGAAGTCGAAGGAATAACAATTGGTGTTCTGTATACACGAGGAAAAACAGTGACTTAATGTCACTTCCTTACTGACAGAATCAGCATCGACTGGAATGGAGACATGGCCAACGAATTCAAAATGAGACTCCAAGTAATCTCCGTAAATGAATGCAATAACCAGGAGTAAAGTTATATTTCTCATTAACTGCATTTTCAGTGCATAGGCTTGCATTGAAATTTCTTAAATGCCCAATTTCCAGGAGACTCTGACTTTTTAGATTTCACTTAAATCTGATATCTCTTCTTAAAAATCATTAGAAAACCATAATTATTTTTCTTAAGTCAACCCCACAATAGCTATTAATTTTTGCAATTCAATTGTACCTTATTAAAAGCAAGAAAGATAAAAAACATAGTTCAATCTCTCTATTTTAACAATACAAATTGTCTTCAGAAAATAAAACACGGATATCTGGAAATTTTAGTTGTTTAACCAGGTGCTTTGTGCGTGATGCACAAATTGCGTTTCCCCGTTTGCCTGATGTTATAACAATGTAAAAGGAATAATTAGGAAACAATTTTTGAAATAAAAATAATCTATATATTTTTTTAAAGATTTCAAAATATGACCCAATTACACGTACACGTTGGACTAACAATTAAGGTCATTATGACGATCAAAGAACGTAAACTTTAAATATTGACTTTAAACAAGGTTATTGAAATCCGTCTAATATAAACTATTTTATGTAAAGAAAAACAGTCCTTATAACATTTTTTGACATATTCTATATTCATTACGTATTCTTGGATATGAGTAAAAATATGCCCCACCTACAGCAATAAGCTGAAGGCAATGAGAAGCATCCTCGGGACTTCAATACTGCCCTTCATTTTGCAATATATATCTTAAAATGATGGCCGAGTTTGAATGTTCATTATTCATGATAATTTCAATTAACTTTAAAAAGCAAATTTTCTATTAGGCCAAAAATATTAAAACTTCTTAATTTCCCATCCGTAATGAAACAAAAGATGAGAAATTAATAAGACTCAAAATAATTATAGAAAGCTTCACAATGTCATTAAATCTAAAAATAAATCAAAGCAGAATTTTAGTTTGAACAGTTAAGTTTATTAAAACATACCAAGAAGTACAATTTGTTAATTGACAGAATCAGCTAAAAAGTTGGATGAAAAATCTGTTGGAATATTAATTCAAATACATGGAATCTTTATTAATATTTAAAGAATATTTCTTAATATTCAATTTCAAAGATTTTCCCTTTTCACAAAACGAAATTGGTATAAACTTTTTATTTAAAACAACATACGATACAATATTGATTTGTTTTTCCTAAAACAAAACTTTTATTGGCTATGTTTTTGCGACATCGATAAACCTTCTGGACTAAAATACGGCCCTACATTCTGCAGTATGTGGTCGAGTCTGACATTTTGTCATCTGAGCAATGTAGACAACATCAATTAATTTGTAATCGTATCATCATTCGAGTTGAGCTCATAAAAGGGTCCCAGGCATTCTTCCAATGATACCAGCCTATTCCTTGGTGGCCAACTTGTCCGTACACCCCATTCAGATTGCTAACTCCACATAGAACATACCACCATCCACCTTGAAAGTTTCCAGCACAGTCATAGCCTTCATAGGGATCATTATCCATGTCATATGTTGAAAATTTGTATCCGCTGTGTGCACCTAGGCTGTCGGCTGAAATGTTGGCAATAATTACGATAATTTAACTAGTAAATTAAAGTATTTATACTACGAAATTTAGATGTGTATATATTGTACTTTTCAAACGTCATATACTTCATATATATCGTAAGTAGTTTCCTTATATCAAAATTAATTATTTCTTGTATATTAACATTTTATGAAAATAATTCATCATTGGTATGTAATTAATGTATTGTTTTGAATTAACTTTTGATCTTGAATACTGTTCGTTATCAACATATGTTTCATTCAATAACCTTGGGACACACATAAGATCGAAAAGCTGTATATTTATTTGAACTCAATGTTTTGTGTTGAAAAAATGTAACGTCAAAATTTGAACTAAAATAAATGTACGAAGGGTTGCCCGTAAAGTTCGTGGACAAGCTAAGAATTAAATAAAAGCTGTGTCATTGATACGGGTATGAGTGTGTGTCTTTTTTTAATCTAATAAAAATAAGACCATTTGCGCTTTGATTTTGTTTAAAACTTGCATGTTAATAAAATGAAACATAAAGAGTGATATATGGTAAGTGTCTCAATTGGCCCCTTAAAATGAATATCTTAATTTTACTTTAATTTGTACAGCTATATTTGCGACCTTTATTGGTCATTTTCATTTTGATCAAAATGCCGTTATTTTAGAAATATGACATCATTAAAATCACTGCCATTTTAGCATATTTTGTATAAAACTGCTTATTTTCAAGAAGAAAAATAAAAAACAAAAAAAACAAAAAGGCATATTTTTGGCTTTTTTGTTAGATAGCAAAAATAGCATTATTTCTCATGTCATTTACAGCTAAGGAGAGTATATAAATGTGAAAAATATTTTAGAAATATTTCTAATATAATATCTTCAAAATAAATAGTAATGAAAAATATCTGAATTCTTAACTGTTGATTTTTAGGGGGTCAAATTGGCTCTTATAGTATATACTCCTTTCCTGGAAAGAAAAAGGAGGATTTAAAATTTATGTTTTAAGAATTACAAGTACTTCTACAAAGGTAGTAATAAAAGTTTTATTAACATTTATTCCATAATATTGTAGAAATATGAGCACAGTAAACATATTTCAATTTCTATTTCCGGTCACGATAGACTAGTAGTAGAACCTTCGCTTTTTGGTCGGGAGGCCCGGGTTTGATTCTCCTTCGCGGCGCCGCGTCAAACCTGAGACGTAAACATAGGTGGTGACTGTTCCTACGCCAAGCGCTCGGTACTATAGGTA